TAGCTGTCCAGTACTCCCAGTTGGTTCTCCGATGGTTCTCTAACTAATATCAACTCATGATTAAATTCTATAACCAATCAAATCCCTAAGAAACCAATAGTTGAATTCAATGGCATTATTCTCTACCCCATCTCTACTCAGTCTCTGCCTGTAATTACCTCTGTTCCTACCTACCCTGACCGAAGTTGAAACATTTTAGTCAATTATATTACGTCATCTAACTTGCTAACTCAGTCTTTCTATAGGTGCTGTCTGATTAAACTTGTTTCTATATTAGATCATTCTTGCAGTACCTGATCAATTATCTAAACTTAACAAACCTCATGTACACACACACACACAAATAATTATGTATATAAATGCGATTGTACAGATATATTAGTCGATTCGCCAATAACAGTCTCTTCCCTGAACGTCTTCTCTTTGAATATGTAGAAGACAATGGAAATGGATTGATTGGTCATACGTTGAGGAGGCCCTCGAATAAAATCGCGCTCAATGCAGGTCAGTGCTCGGGTGGAATTCCAATGGGAAGCGACGAGTGGGTCGTCAGTGCAAGTGTGACATGAAGGATATCGTGTGGGGCGGAGAAGATGAGAGGTTATGGGTGATCATTGGCCTGACTGAAGAGAACAGCAAAAAAATAGGACAAAGTGCAGATGTGTTGTTGCAGCTCTATGCTCCACCCTGAACCCAAGAGTTCAATAATCAATAATAATAATACTAATAGACTGAAGAGTGTTCAAGATGGGATGTAACAACTATTCAATACACAAATGATTTCTACTGGTGATGATTTGTTTTCATTTATCTGCATAAATTTTAAAAGGGGCTTAGTTTTATTACCATTTCACTGTTATGCCTGCATCATGTATGTACATAAATAGATTTTTATGGGTATGCACTTTGATAATAGTTGCACATCCTTCAGCTATATATACCTACGCATATTATGAAAAGCAGTGAGGCAAAAGATGGTGGTTCAAGTGAAAAAGAAATGAAAGAATAAATAAATAAATACATAAACAAGTAAAGAATTTGATTTTATCCCATTTTCAAGACAAAGTGTAGTGTTTCAAGATGGGAAAATAGACAGTTTAAACAAAACTCCACATTATAGATTCAATATTCAACTGACTACATCAAACTGTTACTTATTCTTATGAAATATCTATCTAAATTGTTTCAACGTTTGCTCTATCACATGAATTATCTATTGTGTGTGTGTGTGTGTTTGCGCGCGCGTGTTTCTTCTTATCACAAGGAATTTTTTTATTTGATTATCTGTGATACACCTGACAGGATAATATAAACATTTGATTACGATTCAGTTTCAATTGTGTTTACCTTTAATAGTTATGTAAGTATATAAATATATCTTATACTGTGTAATTTTGAGGAGGGTGACTACTACTGGAATCCATGAGGTGTATTTCAGTCTATTTGGAACTCACTTGTCAGGTGATGTCTGTGTGGAGGTCAACAGCCCCACTCAGCATGAAAATGAAAATGAGATTCGGATTTTCAAATCCAATGTGAGGTTAGTGCGACTCTATACGGCACAGAGACTTGGCCAGTGCATCACGAAGGGCACTTCGAACAAACTACAAACTTCATCAACACCATCTGTCTTCTCTCAATACCACTCAAGATCAGATGGCCAGAAAGGATCAACAACATGGATTTCTGGAAGTGAGCCAACGCAGCAGGAACCGAATGTGCAACAAATACGCAAAAGGAAATGGAGGTGGATTGGTCATACTCTGCGAAAACAAACCATCATCAAGTGACATCCATCACATGCCAGGCCATCGCTCGTGTGGGACCCTACAGGGAAGCGGAGAGTTGGTTGTCAGTGAAAGGGTGATATAGAGGAGGTCATGTGACGAGGTGATAAAAGCATATGGGCGGAAGTGGAGCCAGGTGAAAAGGTTGACGGAGAGCCGAGCGCAATGGAGACGTGCAACTGAAGCCCTATGTTCCTCTAGAACTAAAAGAAACATTAATAATAATATAATGTCAGGTGGTAGATGTACCTATATCCTCACAGTGAGAGATGACTGACTGACTGATTCAACGTAGAACTTTGTAGAGATTTGCAGTAGTTCGAGTTGCCACACTACCTCCATGTAGGACACAAAACAAGAGAAGAGAGTAGCGAAAGATTCAAAACAGTGAAAAATGATAAGAGAAATAAAGGCAAATGAATAGCAATACGGAAGGACAACAGGATTTTATTAGAGATTATAAGTCATAAAAAGTGAATACATATGCGCCAGCCATTGAGAAGGACGATTTTGATCCATAATTTGGCGTGTGTTACTGATAAGATTTTTAAGTAGCATATAACGGCAGGAGATAGATTTGATGTCAGAAAAAGTAAAGAGTACAACGTTGCGGAGATACATAGGATACATGAAAAGAACACAAAGAAACACAATATGAAGGAACGGCAGAAGTAACACAGCAAGGAAGATCTGTACAGTTGATGATTTGAAGATAAGGTGTACATAATTCCTTTGTATAGAGATGCCGAATTCCAATTAAACACTTCTTTGCCAAGTCTTTCTTCTTCTACCGGTTCAATACCACCTATGGTCTCCAACCACTGGTTTGTACCATCCCAAGAACTCTAACCGGGAAGCCTGTCTACACCTCCCTACTTAGCTGACTGGCTTAAACTAACTGTTGTGGATTTCATTGACTGATGAAGCCATGTTTTCCTTTGACCACGACTAGCTAACTCTTTTCCAACCTTACCCTGTGTCAGCTAACATTACCTGTCGAGGAAGGCGATGACTAGGCATACGTAACACATGGCCTAACCATATCAATCGTTGTAACTTCACAAACTAGTCGATTGATTTCCCCTCCTTACCTAACACTCGACAGAAGCGTAACCTCAGTATTGTTCACCTTACTGTACCACTTAACACGGGGTGTAGAAGGCAGACGCATATGATCAAAGACAGCTGGTTAGCCTTTTCATGTCTTCCGCTTTAAATAGCCATGTCTCACTCACATTCATAAAGGAGGACTGCGCGGACTTTTGAGCAGTACACTTTGCCTTTGGTCGAGAGCCAATCAGATATTGCCTCTACGCCAGAGATGGCGTGAGTGATGATGTCCCCAATGAGACTCGAACCCAACATCCATGGCTTAAAATGTCAGTGTTATGCTAAAAGGACAGCCTGTTTCGAAATTTGACTAACAAAAACGTTTATCATCCTACTGTAGCTCTTATTTCTCCTGTTCACATTGTTTTAATCTAATGGTGATATTGTTTACTCTCATGAGTATTTAAAATGTTTACAGTCTACTGATTCACGGGTTTTAACTAAGTTTGAGAAGAAGCCTAATTATTGTTGCTAATACATAAGGTAACTGTTTCAGAGGGTTTTAGTACATTATTATTATTAGTTAAATATATTAATCATTTATTTGCTTTAAACATCGCTTAGGCAACAGGTGACAGTAAAGATGAGGACGTAAAAACCAGAATCAAAAAGGCAGGATAGACCTTCATCACTCTGAGGTCAGTTTGAAAATCTATTTCACTCAACGCACAGAATTAAGTCAGGGTTTTTAACACCAATGTTATATCAGTCGATGTTTCCACATGAGTGAGAAACTCTGGGACTGAACTAATCAAGAACGTATTGGCAAAAATATATTCCGAAGAAAATGGAAATGGATTGGACACATGCTGAGTAGACTGTCGATTGGCATCGCGCTCAGTGCAGGCCATATTTTTTTATTCCTTAACGTTCCCAGTGAAAAATAGGGGGCTTCAAGCTAGAGGCTTGGAGTTTCTATAGCAGTTGGGATTATTTTTTACAGGATAGGGTTGCTAGCCTCATGTCCAACCTTTCTTTTTAATCAGTCATATTACTGTCTTAGCAAGGTTTGGGAGTGCGTCGGTGGTAGGGGATCGAATCCCGAACCACATGAGACTTGGTTGGTGAGCACTCTACTACCAACGCACAAGCGGGGTGCGTCCGCCGGACAGGCCAGAGCTGAAGTAAAATCCTAGAGGAAAACGACGAGTTGGACGTCGGTCCGAGGGTGATATGGAGGGAATCGTATGAGAAGGAGATGAAAACTTATGGGCAATCATAAATCAAACTGAAGAGGACTGCTGAGAATATGACAAAGTTGAGGTGTTCTTTTAAAGAACTTATATCCCACTCGGAACACAAGGGAATAATAATAACAAAACAGAACCCAATTTTTAAAGCATGAAGGCAGAGATTCTCACTGATTGAGCCCACATTTTAAAATAGATCACATTTACATAAGTTTATATTACGTGCGAGTGTAGTTCAGTGTCAGAAGGCTCATCAGCCATACTGCAGATGTGCGTTCAGTTCCCGGTAGCCGATGCACTGCAAAACGTGGTCCAGTTTACTAGCTGATAGCTTATCCAGATAAAAGAGACATCTAAGTGCGAGTCTGGCAACTCTAGTCTGTAAAATGAAATGTCAAAGTACAACCAAATGCCTAGAAACCAACACTTAAATACTGATGAGATGTTCACTAGCGACTTGTCCTATTCAGGTAGGTAGTTACCTGGGGTTCCAGTGAGAAGTCATGACCAGTAGGTTGCAGCAGGTCAGGTGTGGAGACAAATACTTGCCGAAGACATTGGTTAGTGGTCGCGTTATGTCGCGAATTTGCAGAACTTAGAATTCGTGGACTGGCCATTGGATCAGGTCCCATTGGCTTAATGGTCTACGAGCTCGCTAGTCTTGTAACCAGAATGTCTTTGGTTTAAATTGTGGCGGTGGAAGCGTACTGATGAAGAGTCCCGAACTAGGCTGACGAAACAGCTGTCCAGTACTCCCCTCTGGTTTTCCAATGATTCTCTAACCAATGTCAGCTCATGATGAAATCCTGTAAACAACTGAAATTTGTATATTCCACTTGTAATTCAAAGGAATGAAAAAAAGATACATATAAAAATAGTGAAATTTGAAAGAACTTTATAACCTTTAACCCACCTTACAATGAAAACTTCAATAATGGTCAAATATTTTCCATTTATTTGTGCTATAAATATTGAAGCAACAGCTTCATACAATGCAGTTCCATCCATATTGATTGTTGCTCCAATCGGTAAGACAAATCGAGTTACACGTTTATCAATGCCAAGATTTTGTTCAAGACAACGAAATGTAATCGGTAGGGTGGCTGCACTTGAAGCAGTCCCCAAAGCTGTAATCCATGCCTAATAATAATATAAGAAAAGAAAACAAAACAAAAACATGAATGACAGATACTCACAAAACGAATCAATGATCAATGCGAAGTTGGTTGATGATACGTTTAACTATTATTCATATTAAACCAAGACATATAGACGAACAGTACTCCGAAAATGTGGTTAAGATACATGGATGATACCTTCATCATAATCAGACGTAGTTTATTGAATGAACTTTTTCACTTAATAAACAATAAGTCAGAAACCATCAAGTTTTCCAAAGAGGTTGAAACCGACGAGAATAATTTAGCGTCCCTCGACTGTTTAGTACAAAGAAAACTAGATGGTAAATTCAAAATAAACATTTTCAGGAAGCCGACCAATTCGGATAGATACCTAGACTGCTACTATTCAGCACACCCTTTTATTACCAAAGTAACTGTGGCCAAGAATCTGATCAACAGAGGCAAACGTCTAATTACTGAGGAGGAAGAGATTGGCAAGGAATTAAAATTGGTTTAGTTCACTCTTGAATCAAATAATTATCCTAAAGTCTTCATAAAAAGATATTTAAAATGTGAAGATAAGGATGAATCGAAAACTGTTGCTAAGAATTGGGTTAGTACAGCGGTGATCCCTTACCGCAAAGAGACATCCGATGAGATAAAGCCAATCCTTAACGATCATAACATAAGAGTGTATTTTCGTGCAACTAACACCTTACGTTCATCACTGATGAAGGTTAGGGATAAAATAGAAGAAGACAACCAACAGAATTGTGTCTATCAGATCAATTGTGAGGACTATGACACAGTATATGTAGGGAAAACTTCCAGAAGAGTAAAGAGTGAAAGAGCATAAACAATGTCTAATCGTGGTTTCAAGGACTTCTGCAAATTTGAAGAAGATAGGAAACAGACTAGACCGCCACCACAACCATTCGAACCCAGGACCTTCCGATGACAAGGCCAGCGAGCTCGTAAACCATTAAGCCACTGAGACCTGATCCAGTGGCCAGCCCATGAATTCTAACTTCTGCCAATTCATGAAGCAGGGCGACCACCATCCAATGTCTTTGCACACCAACCAAACCAACACTTGAATAGGGCTCCATTTTACTTCATTGGTCCTCATCAGCTGCATAAAACCCATAATCTTCGATAAAATAAGTGAGTGTGAAATTTTAACGTATTTTTGTCTGTCAGGAGGCATACTGTGAGAACCTGATAGTGAGATAAATCATCAAGACGAGAAGGTAGCTGAAGTATTACAGTATATATATATATTGTTGGAGAGAAGTTACTAAAAAATAATTGACAAGTTTGTTGTTAGAGTCGTAACAAAAATTAGTGACAGTCACGTAATTAGATAAGAGAAGATCAAAATTTGATGTGCAAGAGGTCAGATGAAAAGAAGATGATGCAGCATCTTAAGTTCAAGAACTGTTATCTCTTATAGACGTCAAACGTTAAAAACGGAAGAGCGAGGTAGAAAAGATAAGTTAATGAATTTAGAAAACAAAGAATTAATAAGGGATGATTCACTAGGGTAGCTGAGGTCCAACGACAGATTCCTTTAGAGCACCTAGGTCAGGTTCCAGCATTTTTATTGTGATAATGTCAATAAATTGAAGAAGACTCGAGTTATTTTGTTTGCAAGTTATTCTGAATGATGCCAGTGCATCTACTCAGTGTCCAGTGTCTAACAGGTGTTTAGTGACTGTAAAGCCTAAACTGTTTGACCCCTTTAACTGGTATCTCCTTGACGCATCTCCAAAGAATCTAATTTAGGCCTTTATTCTTGTTTTCCCAGCGTAAATGCTCAGGCAGATACATGTGAATTGGTACACACAGCTAGCGTTAACATATGAAGGGTACAACGAGGAGGATGTTCAAAGCACAGTGACTGGTTTCGCCCCAGGATACGTCCTATACAATTCCATATTAGTATGTTTATTAGATTTATCACACAGTGAAACAGTTTGATTTACTGGATGACATTTATAACACAATTTCTTTTACAAAATCATATCACTTATAATCACACGAATTGGAAACTTGAGTTTTATAGTTTTCTTTGTTCTCTCCTATTTGTCATCGTGCGGTTAGTGGAAGTTTGCAGATGTCCGACTGGGAAGGTGTTGAACCATTCCTATTACACGTGCTTGAAGTTGATTCGGTAAACAAAGCTTCCGTTATCAGTCATGTTCCCTCCATCCGGTGACATCAGATTTTAAAACTGTCAGCCTATCCCATCCTATTGTGTGTAACTGCATGTAGTGCTCTAGATTTCTGATCTTATTTGGGTCAACTAATCTAGATTTTGCTGCTAGGTTTTTATGTTCAGCTAGTCTGACTGACCCTGTACTATTAGTTTGACCTATGTAATTGACCTGACATTCATTCCAACAGGATATTAGATAAATTAAATTGTTTTGTTTCGAAGGCTCCACAGGATTGATCCTTTAACCGACAAAGCTTGTTTCTAATTGAGTTTGTGGGTTTGAGTATCACCCACTTTTATTCCTATCTTTTTAAGAACTCTGCGTAAATCTCTGACGTTCCTTTCTTGTATGGATTTACTACTGATGATTTGGAGTCCTTATTGTTGGTGTTGCCTTGCGCATGTTTGCCATGCATGTGGTAATTATTATCACTATCACTACTATCATTATTTATTTTATTTTTACATTTCCTTACATACTTTTGGACTAATTTATCAGGGTAATTATTAAGTTTCAAGGCTTCTTTTATATGTCTCACTTCCTATCTTAGATTTTCGTTGGAACTACTTCGTTTTTGTGCTCTGTCATTTAAACATTTCACCAATTCTATTTTCACCGACATAGGATGGAATGATCGGAAGTCCAAATATCTGTTTGAATGTGTGGGTTTCCTGTAAACACACTAGTGTGTTTAACTTCCCATCTTCTTTCCTTTTTATGTTGCAATCTAACATTGGAAGTTCCTCTTCCTGATTTTCCAATTCATACTATAAACTATAAAACTAAAGTTTCAAGGTCGTGTGATTACAATTGATGATATGATTATGAACAATAAATTTTGTTCGAAACTGTGTCATCCAGTAAATAACACTGTTTCCCTCACTGTGTGATACATCTAATAAACAAACCAATATGAAATTACTTACTACCACAGTGCCCAAGGTTTACAAATATATATTAATACATCCTAAATAAGGCTGCACTTTATCTTTTATTTACGACTGTCATAATATCATCGCCTTTGATGTTGGGTTCAATGAAATCTGGCCGCTTGCCCTGCATAATATCTGCATCAGGTTTCTTGCATTTATTCTTGACATATTTATTAATGAAGCCTTGTGGATAAACATCTCCTTTCAAGCATTTCTCAAACAAAATTAGCTCACTAACTAATTTGTCAAGTGAATATATATTTTAATATATGTGTTAAACTTGGGCACCGTAAAAAGCAAAGAAGATGGGTAGTTAAACACTAGTGTTTACAGGAAACCCAAACACTCGAACAGATATTTGAACCTCTGATCATCCCATCCTATGTCAGTTAAAACATGATCGGTGAAATATATAAGTGACAGAGTACCAAAACTAAGTAGCACCAAGGAAAATATCAGACAGAAAGTGACACAAAGAAGAAAAGCTTTGAAACTTAATAATTACCCTGATAAATTAGTCCAAAAGTATGTAAGGAAATGTAAAAATAAAATAAATAATGATAGTCGCGATAAAGATAGTAATAATAATAATATTAATGACGATATGCATGTCAAATGTGCGCAAGGCAACACCAACGATAAGGAATCTAAATCATCAGTAGTAATTCCATAGAAGGAAGGAGCCTCGGAAACCTTACGCAGAATTCTTAACAAGATAGGAATAAAAGTGGTTGGCATTCAAACCAACCACAAACTCAATTAGAAACAAGCTTTGTCGGCTAAAGAATCCTACCAGTGGAGCCCTTAAAACAAAACAATTTAGTTTATCTAATACCCTGTCTGCAATGACTGTCAGGTTAAGTACATAGGTCAAAGTACTAGAACTGGTGTAGTCAAAGTAGCCGAGCATAGAAATCTAGCAGTAAAATCTAGATTAGTTGACCGGAATAAGATAAGAAATCTAGAGAATAGTTCAGCTCTACCACTCACTACATGCAATCACATATAACCATATACTACGATGGGATGGGATAAGATGACAGTTTTAAAATGTAATGTAACAGCGTGGCGAGTGGGGAAGATTGATAACAGAAACTTTGTTTGTCTAGTCAACTGCAAATACATGTAATAGGAATGATTCAACAGCTGCCCACCCAGACATCTGGAAAATTCTACTACCCAAACGACGACAAATAGGAGAGAATCAAAGAAAACTATAAAACTAAAGTTTCAAAGTCGTTTGATTACAATTCATATGATTATGAAGAATAAATTTTGTTCGAAACGTCATCCAGTAAACAGTAATACTGTTTCACTATGTGATACATCTAATAAACAAACTAATTTGGAATATATATATATGCTTTGCGTTCTAGAGAAAAGCATTTCCATCAGCCTTGATTTCTTACTGACTGAGATTTACCCAGTAAAACTCTTGCAAACCTATAAAATTTAGACAGAAGCACAAATCGTTATCTAATTGTACTTATCTCTCATAATCTAAAAATTCCCCGACTTGATTTATCATACAAGAAAAAGGAACATTATTTTATCATCAGCAACATCATCATCATCATCATCATCGAATTTTGACTAGGCTTTTTTTTTCATTTTTCTAGTTTTTATCTTCTTCTTTGCTGAAAACCTCGATTTGCCAAGTTTATCCGATGAAAATTTTCTCGAAGCCTTAATAATTTTCCACATTCAGTCTAAACTGGATCGAATGTATAGATAAATTCTTAAAGTTAATCTTCTTAAAGATGAGTATACATAGAGAGAATGAAAGAGATAAGAAGTGTGGCAAAGAAACGGGAACAGGAAAAACAAAGTTGTCTTTGCTTGTGTGTGCGTATATGTGTGAGACAAAAAGAATTAGGAAATGATGAAAATTCAAGGAGAAAATAAAGAAGAAGTAAAGTTTTATAATCCTTTCTAACATTACAAGCTTCCTATTACGCGGTGAAATAATAACAACAATAATAATAATCCCTAATTAAATGCTTGGAACAAAGAAAAGTCACGTGAAAAAGATTTATGTTGGTGAAACAGAATAAAAAACTAATGTCAGCTCATGATGAAATCCTGAAACCAATCAAATCCTACAAACCATCACTTGAATACCAATGAGATGCTCACTGGCGACTGGCCCTATTCAGGTAGGTAGTTACCTGGGTTCCAGTGGGAAGTCGTGACCAGTAGAGTGCAGCTGGTCGGGTGTGAGGACAAATACTGCCGAAGACATTGGCTAGCGGTCGCGCTATGTCGTGAATTGGCAGAAGTTAGAATTCAAGGACCATTGGATCGCGTCCCAGTGGCTTAATGGTATACGAGCTCGCCTTGTAACGGAAGGTCCTGGGTTCGAATCCCGGTGGGTGCGTACTGCTGAAGAGTCCCAAACTATGACGAAACAGCTGTCCAGTACTCCCAGGTTTTCCAATGGTTCTCTAACTAATGTCAGCTCATGATGAAATCCTGAAACCAATCAAATCCCTACAAACCAACACTAGAAAAAAAACTACAAAAGAGATTTATACACTACTACTTTTAGGTGTTAGTAGTATCTTCAGTGTTAGTTTAATAAGTTCCAGTGTTTGAAGTTAGATTTTGTTCGGGAATAGACATAAATTAGAGAACTATTGTAAAACAGAGACCTTTCTAGTTTGGGGCGGTTCATCGATACGCATTTATGACCTACAAAATAAGTTCGAATCCATGACATTCTATTTTTATATGCGAGAATGACAACGAGTTCTATCTATTGCCAGTTCACGATAACATAAAGCTAATCGCAAAATCGGAAAGCAGGGAAAGCTTTCATTACTCTTAAGTCGGTGTGACGATCAACAGCACTTCACGACATGAAAAATAAGAACTGGATTTTCTACACCAATGTGAAGTCAGTCAGTGCTTCTTACTATACGTACGGATCAGAGACTTAGCGCCACTTAACAAAGAGCACTTCGAAGGAACTACAGACCTTCATCAACAGCTGTCTTCGCTCAATACATCACTCAAGATCAGATGGCCAGCCAGAAAAGTTCAGCAACAGGGATCTCTGGGGGTGAACCAACTAGGAACCAATAGTGCAACAAATAAGCAGCAAGAAATGGAGGTGGATTGGCCATACTCTGCGAAAACAAGCCATTATCAAGTGATATAACACGCCAGGCCATCGCCCAAGTGAAACCTGAATGTGAGGTGGCAAGTTAGTTGGTCATCAGTGTGAAGGGGACATAGAGGAGGTCATATGAGGAGGAGATGAAAGCATGTGTGCAGACGTGGAGCCAGGTGGTGAAAACTTTATCTAAGAACTGAAGGCATCGCAGACGTGCGGCTGAAGCCCTATGTTCCTCTAGGAGCTAAAGGAAACAATAAAAATAATAACAATGAGAAAACGATGTCATGCGTAGGTGTGGTGAGAGCAGGCTGCTAGCCAATCGGTAGACATTAGTCGACGCTGATTGGTAGATATTAATCTAGGCTGATTCAACAACCAATCACAGCAGACTTAAACGTGGGCAAATATGATTTGCAGACAAATGGCTCTACTTTCCGAGAAATATCGAAAACAACCAATCAGGAGACTGTGTTTGTCTTCCGAGAAACAACCAATTAGAAGACCGCCTTTTTCTGCTTGCATAAGCCTTATTAATGTACATAAAATATATATAAATACGCGTTGATTTTCGTAATAAAACGATCTGTTGCCTGGCCCTTGTCTTCTGTTGTTACATAGGTACCTGTCCACATACTCGAATCGGTGTCACTTATCATTCATGACTTCTCACGATAACTCTGATAATCTTTCCCCGTAATCAGCAGCCAATGAGCAGTGGATTAGTTTCAGATCAAGGATTAGATCGATTTCAAATTCAACTTCACAATGAGCTGATATTAGTTACGAATCATCCTGTGTAGATTGATGTAGATTGTCATCTTTGTCGTTGGACAGTTATTCAATCAATCAATAGGGTTATAAGCGCCTTCTTGACATCCACGTTATGTGAAGATTATGTGAAGCGTTTTTATCACTGTATGTCTCTAAGTAACCACTGTGCGTCGGTGACACAGTAGTTAGGACTCTCGCCGACCATGCACATGGTCCGGGGTTCGAGCCCACGCCGGCGCTTACCTGATATCTATGGTCGGCCTGCAAAATTTGGGCTACCGATATCCATGCTGAAAATTCCATACTTGTACCGAAAATACAGTGTGGAATCAAGCTGTAAATCAAAAATAAAAAAATAAAAGGAAGTTTACAACAGTTATACAGTAGCATGCAAGGTTCGGTTCCCCGAGTTCAGAACACAACCATTCGCTTTTAGATAAAACACACAGCAGCGTTGGAAGTCTACAGGAAGTCACTTTTTCACTTAAGTAGGCATTATCGTTTCAAATACAAACGGTACCCATGAGGATGTCAAAACCTGGATCATAAATGCAAGATAGATCTTCATTACTCTGAAGATAGTGTGAAAATTGACTATATTCAGCAGAAGTAACAAGATCCTAGTTTTTTCAACATTCATGTCACATCGATGCTTTCATGAAGTTCATGGATTCAGCGTTCTTTCCAAGAAAACATTTCTTTTATCAAGAGATGTCTTCGCTATCACCTGATAAATATGCATAGTTAAATACAGATGAACTAGACACAACTGAGGAGACCGCTAACATCAAGTGCCAGGCCCTCAAGTGGAACCTTAATGGGAAACGGCAAGTTGGGTGAAGTGTAAGAATGACACGAAGGAAGTCGTGTGAGCAGGAGATGAAAGCTTATAGGCAACTGTGCAGCCAGCTGAAAGTGATTACAGAGGACAAGATGAAATTGACATGAGCTATTAAAGCCCTATACCCCACTTGGAACTCTATAAAATAAAAGTAGTAATATTAATAATAAAACTATTAAATCCAACATTTACTTACTTGGAATAATCCTTTGTAAAATATGTAGGGATTTTTTCGAGTGGCTAAAAAGTAGAGCAATGCCAGTGTTCCGAGTAAATGGATAGCCAATCCACTCACCACAGTTATCATATACAAGCCTAATGCTCTAGCTGTATCACGTAGATTTTCAATTTCCAACATTTTACCCAAAATTAAAAAGAATATCCCAAAGGGTGAATAGCTGAAAATAACAAAAAGACAATAAATAGGTGAACTGTTTAATTTATATTGGAAATAAATATTCTAAATAAATATTAATTAGAATAAGGCAATTGAGAAGACAAATTTTGCGAGATGATGGCATCATTTCGTAGTTTCTTTACAACCGCTTCACAACTAACATGGTTAACAATAATAATAAAATAAAGTTCATGACAATTTTGTCAGTTAAATAAAAAAAACAAAAGTACATACTAATGACCAATCATATTTAGATAGGTCATGTTGTCCATGGTAGGCGAAGATTGAGATAAACTTACCTATTCCTGTCACTTACATCAGAAACATCATCTTAATGTGTACAGAAAATATCAGATTCACCTTCCAAGATAAGGCATACAAACAAATCGATGGTGCTGCAATGGGGAGCCCTCTGGGGCCCCTGTTAGCAGATATATTCATGTAGAAATTGGAGAAACAAATGTAAGGTATGCTTGGAGAATCTATGCTGTATAAACGTTATGTAGACGATAATCTCACTATTGGTAATAATAGTAAATCTAGTGAAAACTTTATTACCCTATTTAATCATATTCATCGAAATATTCGAGTGACTTCCGAGCGAGAATCGAATAACAAACTCGGTTTCCAGGATATTACTCTGACTAGGAGAGATGATGGTACGGTTCAACGATCTATTTTTCGTAAACAGACATGGAGTGGACAATATCTTCATTTTACCAGTTTTGTTCCTATCCAGTATAAACGTTCCCTGGTAAAATGTTTGTTCTCAAGGGCCCGAAAAATATGCACGAGTGACACATTGATGGATGAGTTTCGACATATACATTCAGTTCTATTAGCTAATGGTTATCCGGAAAACTTTGTCACACTTGTCACAGTAAAGAAAGACCACATCTCGAAAAGACATCTTCTGTACCAAAGAAAGCTATCTTTATGAAGCTTCCTACCAGTTGACAGCTAGCTCAAAGACTTCGGTCAGCCATCAAACACACATTCTACGCCGCCGCATCTCTTTTTCTCACTTGCCGAACATTTTTGATCCCTGTACTTATGATTAAAGGACGAAATTCTGGGGACTCTATTCCCCTCAAACTGTATCTACAAGTTCACCTGCAGCTGCAGTGACATACACCTATATAGGCAGAACCAATAGAATGTTCCAATGTCGTGGAAAACAACATGTTCTAAAATGGCTACTAAATCATGTAGAAAGTCCCGATGTAATTAATCTGAATAGAAATCCATCAGCATCATCCATTGCAAAGCACTTATCAATGTCAGGTCACAAAATCAATATTAATGACACAATAATTTCACATAACTCTAATTCAAGGTTATTGAAGGTGATGGAAACACTTTGGATTAACCACATACAGCCTAAACTGTGTGTACAAAAATCAATAGACTTCAATCTTCGCCTACCCTGGACTGCATGACCTATCTTAATATGATTGGTCATTAGTATGTACTTTTGTTTTTATTTAACTGAGTAAATTTCATGAACTTTATTTTATCATTGTTAACCATGTTAGTTGTAAAGCGGTTGTAAACAAACTACGCAATGATGCCATCATCTCGCGAAATTCGTCTTCTAAATTGCCTTATTCAAATTTATTAAAGGAACTAATTGTTTTTTATATTAATTAGGTGTTATTTACAGAAAGATAAGATCAGTGCTGTTTATGGGGTAATTTGCATGAGCTGCAATAAACATCACATTGGTCAAAGTGGGCGTCCCCTTCGAATCTGAGTCCAAGGACAAAATTAGGTATGAAAACACATGCTATGTATTCTTTTACATCGGTGCAAGTTTAGGCAGTCATGGACACCAGCTTGATTGGGAGCCACCACCACCGACAGCCTCTTAAAGCCGCGCCACCAATTTCATATAGGAGCTCTTAATGTTAGGACACTTTGCCAAATAGGACAACAAGCATCACTAGCCAAGACCCTGGCATCACGAGCCATTGATGTATGCTGTGTTTCAGAAACACGCATACAAGACCCAAGTGTGGTTATTCACCTAACCCTACCTGGCCAACAGGTTGAATCTGCAAAATTCACCTTGAGGGTGTCAGGAGATGCCACAGCTAGTTCATGACTTTGAAAGCCACCTCGTTAACATCAATCTTGTGTCGTTTATCCACAAGATTAGATAGAATAGTGCTGCGAATCGATTTTGTTTGTCCTTTGCTTAACCATTCAGAGTGATGTTCAGAAATCCGAATAGAAACACGCCTAACTATACGGCCTATGCAACTAACTGCCTCCCCACAGGAGCAGTCAAACCAGTAGGCGCACATAGAAGAGGCTAAATTGGGTAGGTTATCTTTAACTTCCGAACGTAAAAATAGGGGTGGTTTTGAAAATACAGCATAATTCAACAGCATCGAATACTGTTTTTGCCTCCGTATTCCTTAGGCATTGTGTTAATATCTCACTGATGTAATCACCAAGGAACTTAAGTTGTAAGAACAAGGCCCTTTTCAGAACTGTCGGTACTTTGACAGGCCTTAATCTTTGATTCATATTCTTATCGATGAATTTCTCTGGGTTACCATTCTCACTCAGTAAACTGTTTAATAAAAATAAACTTTTCATTGAGACTTTCATCAGAGCAGATTGCTCTTGCTCTATGGACAGCATTTGTATTTCAAAGGTACGAAGCTGAAAAAATCGGTGTGCTGACCAGCTGATGTAGGTTTTCTACATACTTTTCTTATTATTGTACCATCCTCTTCTTGAGTCATAAGGATGTCGTCTAGGAATGGAATACTACAGTCTTATTCTTTCTCGATGCTAAAAAATTTATTTCAGGATGAACATCGTTGAATTTGTCCAGGATGTTCTTCGCTTCATCCTCAGTTTTCATAATGAAAAATGTATCATCCATGTACTGACGGTTCATCAATTACATCTTTCAAAAGTCCATTCTCTAGTTATGCTGGCTAGAATGGATCCTAGTGGTAACCCCATTGCCACAAAATCAGTTTGTCTTTATAGTTCCTTATTAAATAAAAGGTGAACACTCATTGTGCATTTCAAGGGGAAGCTCTTTTATAAATGATTTAGAAATGCCGACATTGATGTTTCACATTACGACAAGAAAATTCAATTTACAAGTCAATGAAAATGATGAATAGAGATGTAAATTAACACCCAGTGACAACAATGATTGTTGCCAGGCGATACAATTATATCATTCATTTCATACTAAAACCTGCGCTGAGGATGTTGTCCAGAAAAAGGAAAATGATGAAAGCTGTTCAGTTAAATCGATCAACTCCTCAAAGAACACAACTAAATCAAAATCATCCGCCTTAGCTACAAAAAAAAGATTCACAGAGTTAAATATTCAGGTACCTAAAATGGCTGAATACAACATTTCAAAGTGGACGACCTCTATTCTTCAACAAATCTCTACATGGAAACAACACTTTCACTATTGAAGAATGACTTAATACCTGAAATATGACCATTGCATGTACATGGTAAACATCTTATTGTTTAATCTAAAGCATAAAAGATATCAAAGGATACCGGATGTGAACTTAAAAAATAATGAGTTGATGTCATTCGTATGCATTAGTAAAAAATAAAGGACGCAATCACTTGATCAAGATTAGAAAGTGGAAATAGATGCCCAGTTTCAGCAATCTCTCATCACGACACGCTTGTGGAATATAAAGCAGCAACAGCTAGTCGCTATTGGTTGGTTATCTTAATCACCTGCGTTTTCTCTATGTTCACTTGAAGTTCTGTCTTTGCTGTCAGCCTCTTCTGCCAACTTGCTGGTTTTCGTCTGTAAGTCTTTGAGTTCGCGTAACATTAAGCATAAATCATTTGCCAAGTCTTGTGGAGGCTTCTTATTCGACCAAAGTGTGCCCGTCTTCTAGCTTTCCACAGTCTTCAGTATAATCCAGCCTACCACATTTAAGAATGATAGTAGGCAGCCTTGTCCTACTCCCCTCATTCACTTTTCATACTCCTCGCTTAGTTCTCCATTGTGGATCACCTGATACTTGGCAGTGTCATATAGCCAGCTGTTTAATAAGGTTGATAGAGATTTGGGGTACTCTATAGCGTTAAACTACTTTTCAGTTAACGCTGTCGAATGCTTCACTTAAATTTTTTTGATGATGACTAAAATTCAACTATATCCTGTGCACATCAACTTTCTATGTGTTTGTTATTGCAACACTTAAGAAGGTCTTCAGATTACAGACTTACGTATTTATGATAAGAAGATGATGGAAACCAATTGCGAAGGTAATTTAGCTTGTATACAAATACCTCAATTTTCGTTTCAACCTCAGTCATATAAATTATCACAACTAACCTACTACAAATTTTTATGTTTGTGGCATTACGGCTGTTTTTTCTGAGCTGGGTGGCTTAATAGCGAAGGCTTCATTGTCTTCCTAGACGACATTTCCAGTGCTAACCTCGGTGTGAGCCATATAAATGTAATAATTGTCTCTCATGATAACCTTGACTGTGATTGGTCGTCTTCAAAGGTTTTCTTGTCCATTTGTCTGCCTGTTCATATTGATTGCTTCATTGACCTTGTATATGACCTTTACATAATGTAGTGAACTTATTCATTTATTGATTGATAAATCTGGTGTATTATAATGTAAGCATAACAGTGAAATCATTCAGCCCAGGGGGAGAGGCATAAAAACACCAAAATCAAAATATCCTATATAAGTTATGAATCTCCCAAATTTAATTTTACACGTATATAAATAATGCATTAAGTGAAATTAACTCACAGCATTATAACTTGTACCATTCTCATGACAACTTCATTAAGAATAGAAAAGAATTGTACCATTGTCACAGCTTTATCACCCATTTGACCAAGTATTATACCGAAAATAATTGAAAATGATACCAAACCTAAGATTAAAAGAAAAAAACGCAGCAAAAGAAAATTTTAACTGTTATTTCGAATTTCCAGTTGACTGATTAATTTTGTCAGACTGTAATCCCCAGTATATTTGTACTCGCTTAGGCGGTTGTGAGATGCTCTAGTACTCCAAGAATGTGGTTAAATACGTGGATGATATCTTCGTCATAATCAAATGCAACATGTTGAGTGAACTTTTTCATTTAATAAACAATATGTTAGAAACCATTAGGTTTTCCAAATAATTTGGATCCGAAAAAAATGATTTCACATTCCTGGACTGTTTAGTAAAACGACAACTAGATGGTAAACTTTAACATTTCACAAAGGCTGACATATTTCGACAGATACTTAGACAATTTTTTTCAACACATCCCTTTACCAGCAAATAACTTTGGCCAAGAATCTGATTAACAGAGCCAAACGTCTAGTTACTGAGGTGGAAGAGATCAGAAGGTACGAAAATTTGTTCAGTTCACTCTTGAATTAATTTATTATTTCAAAGCCTTTAAAAAATATTTAAAATCTGAAGATAAGGATGGATCGAAACCTGTTGCTAAGACTTGGGTTAGCACAGTGGTGATTCCTTAGAACGAAGAAACATAGGATGAGATAAGCGAAATCCTTAATAATCATGACGCAAGAGTGTGTTTTCGTGCAACGGACACCTTACGATGACTACTGGTGAAGATTAAGGATAAAATAGAAGAAGACAACCAAGAGAATTATATGTACCAGATCAATTGTGCGAATTGTGATGACATAGGAGAAACTTCCACATAGGTAAATATAAGAGTGAAGGAGCATAAACCTTTACAGACTTAAGCTAGAAAGCAGATCGGCGATTGCACTGCACTCGGTAGAAACTGGTCACATGATCGACTTTGAAAGGACTAAGGTTCTACAAGAAGGCTATGGTTCGTATAAAGAAAGATTGACTGCAAAAGCCCTACATATATATGTGAATCCCAAAAGCTTGGACAGGCGTAATGGTGTGGTGTTAGCTGATCCATGGCAAGTCCTGATAAATAAATAAAGACGGTTATGTGTCACTAACTTGTCACACTAAATCTAAATTACCAAACTGTTTATATCTTCTTATGAAGGCTAACAAGTGATTTACAACTTCCGCCTCATGCACACACATACAACTCTATACCGCAAATATATATATATATATATATATAAATGATATTCATTTATCTATAACCCTGAACTTAAGTCGAATGCAGTCACTTACATTCTAATGCAAAAGTACGCAGTTTACAGTGAATAACAAAAGTACACTAATAATTGTAAGTATGTGGTCTAATTTTGTTCACTATTGATGCAATTTTGACTGGTTGGAAGATTTCATCATGAGCTGACATCAGTTAGAGAACCATTGGAAAATCTGGATGTAGTGGACAGCTGTTTCATCCTAGTTAAGAGCTCTTCAACAGTACGTTATTTTGTTTATTAAATTTTGATGTCTGTTGATGACTCATATTATTGGACAAAGATTTTAAAGACAAGCTGTGCCCTTTTCTTTACATACATGCCTTATTTTAATTTTGATTAATTTCCCTGATGAAGTTCAGAACACTCTGTCAGGAGAAACGTTGGAATTCCTCACTTCGATTCCTCTGGAAATTTTACAAATAGAATTTTTATATCAAATGGATGGGAAAGTTCCAGAATAATATCCGGTCAAGGGTCAAATTAATAAAAATTAAAATTGGGAATTAGAATGCCATAATAAACAGGGGGATGGATAAAACAAACAAAATAGCATTAAAATAACTAAGAAGACTGACATTGTGCAATTAGGGGTTAGAAATGTAGAAATAACAAAATAGACAGGATGTTTGGATAAAAACTAATGTGATGAATAATTGTTTATGCAATCAGGGATTAAATGTGTAGAAATAGTAAAATGACAAAATAAACACTAAGTTCGGGTATGAAAATATGGTAGTGTAAACAGGGATTAAGAAAAACTTGAAATAACATGAATAAACAGGAAGTTTAGATAAGAAAGGCGATGGGATGGTGATTACTAAAAATTACTTGTTTATGATGGCCATGGCAAGGACAGGGGTTGGACGTATTTCTTTTGTATACAAAGCGTGGGTTTGAGCTTTTGTATAGCTAGCGCCTCGGCTATGCCCAGATGTCTTGATTTTACTCCCTTTGATGGGTTTGATCGAATCTTGTAAATGATTTTGAAGGATTTTTCGAGTGGCGCTGAATGTCCTGAATTCACCAGGTGTTCTGTCACCGAACTATTTACCCGTTTTCGTTCTCCTTTTACTAGCCAGGCTGGATAGTGTTCACGAGCGCGTTTTTCAAGTCGGCGCATGGTACGGCCAACGTACTCAGCTCCACAAGAGCAAGTAAACTGGTATATGCACGTTGAGGTGGCCCAATGCGACAGCTTGTCTTTCGCGTTCTGGCTGAACAGTTTCTTGCAGGAAAACGTCAGTCGTAGGCTAGCGGCGAAGTATGTTTTCCTCAGCGATTTTGAGAGGCGTCTGCGAAGGATTTCTGCTTCAATCTCACCTTTGAATTCTAGATTAAGCAGAAGCATTTTCTTTGGGACGGATTGGACTTGTTCAGAAGTCTTCTTAGGTTTGAGATTCTTTTCTATGAACCTGGGCGGGAAACCGTTTTCCATCAGGGTTTTTCGAAGATTACGCAGTTCTTCTTCAACCACTTCCTCGCTGCATATCTTCCGAATCCTCGAGGAAAGAGCGTATATCAGGTTCCTCTTTCTGCTCAGGGGCACGAAGCTTTGAAAGTTGATGAATTGTCCATTCCATGTAGGCTTTTTGTATATGGACCTTTTCAGGGAGTTGTCGGCGTTTCTTGTCAGATGGACGTCGAGGAAGTGGAACATTCCGTCGGATTCAGTCTCAAGTGTGAAGTCGATGTTTGGGTGGGCATTATTGAAAATTTGAAGTAGGTTTTTTAAATCACAGTTCTCATCACAAATAATGAAAGTATCATCGATGTATCTCTTGTAGAGATGGAGGTCGTTGATAGTTGTTGATAAGGCGTTGTTCTCTAAGCTAGCCATAAAGCAGTCGGCTAGAAGGGGTCCTAAGGGAGAACCCATTGCTACTCCATCTACTTGCCTGTATATTTCTTTGTTGAAACTAAAGTATACGTTGAAGGTGCATCGAAGTAACAGTTCTTTCAGGTAATGAATTGGTATATCGACATTGATGTTATTGGATTCAATGTAGTCACAAAGGAAACATACGGTTTCTGTCAGTGGAACGTTGGTGAAGAGAGACACGACATCCAGGGAGACCATTTTCTTTTCTGCCACATTGACATTCTTAATTGAATCAACAAAGTCGAATGTGTCGCAGAGGTTATGTCTTGACAGCTTCTCTTTCACCGGCCCGAGAATCTCCACCAGCCATTTCGCGATTGTATGATATGGGGAATCTATCATATCTAGTATTGGGCGGAGTGGGACGTCTTGTTTATGTACCTTGGGTAAGCCGTACATACGTGGCGTTGTAGAACCAGATGGGCGCAGTTGTTCGTATAGCTTTGAACTGATAATGGATTCGTCCTTCATTTTCTTCAATATCTTTGTTAGCTGGAGCTCCGTCTGTTCAGTGGGATCTTTCTGTGGAGACTGTTTCTGAAACTTTTTATCATCGGATAGTATCATCGAGAGTTTGCTTAGGTAGTCTGATTTGTTCATCAGGACGATTCCGGAGCCTTTATCTGGTCGCGTGATGATCAAGTTTTCATTATCTTTCAGTTCTTTCAGCTCCTTTCGATGTTCTTTGGAAAGGACGTTACGGAGGCTGGGTTTTTTGTTGATATAATCGAGACAGCAATTTAAAACGGTTGATTTGAAAAGTTCTGCATTCTCATATGAGATTGGGACGAGATCTTTCGTCTGGTCGATTAAATTCTCAAATTGCACTTTCGTGTTGAGTTCATTCACTTTTGACGTTGCATCACAAAACTTAGGCCCAAGTGCTAAGATTTGCATTTGAATTGGAGATAGTTGAACATCAGAATAATTGTACACGTATTTTTCTGGACAAGTAGGAAAGACGGTTTCTTTTGTAACGGACTTTAGGCTTTGGTTTAGTTTCATTATAACATCATCTGTTCTTTTCTTTGTAACCGTATTGGAGTAGTTTTCGAATGCTGTTCTCTCGTCTTCAGATAACTCATGGAGAACGTGGGAGCTTTTTGAGATATTCTGCTCTAGCTCAGGTAGTCTTGATCGCACTGCATCGATGTGATTCAGAGTGTGTCGTTTCAGCGTACGTGAGTTAGGGGATATGTGATTTCGTCTGAGATGCTTCCAAAATACTTTGGGATATTCATGTTTCTCGAGACAATTCTTCAAGAAGAAAATCTTTGCGTTCGCCTCAGCAAGCTTGACGGACAAACGTAGAAACTTGTTCAGTTCCCTTACCGTCGAACGGTCCTTGCTCCTCTTTAAATCACGGAATATACACATTGGGTCATAGGAGTAAATAAGAAGACAGTTGCAGCGAAGAAAATTTTCTTTTCGACGAAGTCATCATCTAGGCTGTACATTCGTGTATTTATATCAAATGGATGGGAAAGTTCCAGAATAATATCCGGTCAAGGGTCAAATTAATAAAAATTAAAATTGGGAATTAGAATGCCATAATAAACAGGGGGATGGATAAAACAAACAAAATAGCATTAAAATAACTAAGAAGACTGACATTGTGCAATTAGGGGTTAGAAATGTAGAAATAACAAAATAGACAGGATGTTTGGATAAAAACTAATGTGATGAATAATTGTTTATGCAATCAGGGATTAAATATGTAGAAATAGTAAAATGACAAAATAAACACTAAGTTCGGGTAAGAAAATATGGTAGTGTAAACAGGGATTAAGAAAAACTTGAAATAACATGAATAAACAGGAAGTTTAGATAAGAAAGGCGATGGGATGGTGATTACTAAAAATTACTTGTTTATGATGGCCATGGCAAGGA